GCTATTTTTAGTAATTTTGTCAACGAGTGTAAGCCAATCAGAAGCCTGCGTTTCTATACGAACGCCACTACCAAGAAAACCTATAGTTCCATGCAGGCCCTCTATTCTTCGCGCCGCCCGCAACCCAGGGCCTGTTCGCAGGCTAGGATCTAACTAGTTTACCCTAACTAGTTTACCCACAGGGTAGTGAATGCTGCCTTGGTATATCATTGTTCCCAAATCTTTAAATGAGATTTTTTGTATGTTACGTAACACGCGCTCAAAACTAATGCGTATAATATACCACATGAGATTATGACTAAAATCAAAATTTTTATATTTCGATACGTTTCTCAATCGGTAAAAAAAAACTTAAAAAGTATGTTTAGCGCTTTATCTGTAAAATAATGCTAAAATGAAGAGATTTTAGATGATACGCCAAAGAGAAAATGATGTCTGAAGTTCAGTACGTTTTGCTTAATGCTGTAAATATAGCGTCAATTTTAAGGCATCGTTTATAATTATATTTTAATTGGCAATTTTTAACTATTATTTTATGTTTCTCAACCGGCAGACGCATTTAAAAAGGTAGCTAACTCTATAAACTGTAGAGAATAAAGGTAAAATAAAGTAATTTTGAGAGGAACGCCAAAAAGATTTTAGGTTTTGAACACTTTTCATTGCAAATGCGTGACATTGAAAAAAAATTGCCTCTTAATATTTTAAAGAATAAGAGTAAGAAATAGAGAATAATACATGGGTGCGCGGAAATACCCGATTTATTTCGAGTGTTGAACATGAGTGTTGAACATGAGAAATAAATCTGGTGATTTCCAAGCACCCATGTATTTTTCTGTTTATTATATAAAGGACAGTCTTTGAAAAGCGATAATTTGTACAGAAAAGCGATAATTGAAAAGCGATAATTTTCACATGCGAGATTATCACGAATAATCTCACATGTGAGATTATCACCTTTAGTTTTATCAGTGCTCAAAATCTCTATAAAGCACTATACTTTATATAATAAATATTCGTAATGAATTGGAATCATCCATAATTTATACACTTGAATGTGCCGTATGATAACTCGGCGCTCTAAGTTTCGTATCGAAAGAGGAACAGCCGAACAGGTACGATGGCTAACAAGAATGAATAATAATAATAATGATCTTTATTCATGAATAATTAAATTACACGTTAGCCAAAGCCAGAGGGTTATATGGCTATATAAATGGATAGCCAAATTTTCTAATTACATAATTACAGTTATGGTAATAATAATTAGAAGGGAAGTGAACAATTATTAAATACAAAACACTAGGTAGAAAATATCAAAGTGCCAAATGACAATAAAACAACAAAGAATATCAGTTGTTGGTTAATATAGTTAATAAGCTTGAGACAAGTAGTAATCCTTCAAAATACGCTTATAATTAAAATATTTTAGCGAATTACGAAGAGTATACGGAATTGAGTTCCAAATTTTTGGACCTTGGGATCTGATTGAAAATGATAATTTATTAAATGTGAAATGGAGATTATGTTTTTGTCTAGTATTGTGATGATGCATTTCACTGTTTACAGTAAAAAGTGAAGCAATAGG